GGAGAAGTAATATATTGTGTTCATTAAAGCAATATTAAAATTAAATTTAACACAAAGTACCTGAGACTAAAACCCAAAACTATTAACCCCAAAGCCACTAACTATTCATTAGCCAAGTCAATTTTGCAACCCATTATGATTCACAATGTGTAAATTCCCATTGAAATTGATTTAGTAAACCAGCCCTTTGATGGGCCTGAAATTAAAAGGATAGAAGAAAAGATACAACTAATTGAAGAACATAATTTGATGCTTGTACAGGGTGCGAAATTTACTGAGAGCAGACTGGAGCTTTAATTAAAGACAGCGGGCCAAATCCACACCTGGGATAATGATTGAGGAATTTTGCTGAGGTCAGAAGAACTGCAGCCACTCGTGGCAGGGCTGAATGCAGCTCCTGGTAGTGCCCACTTTAAAAAAAAAAAAGAAAAAAGAAAAAGAAAAAAAGGCAGGGAAAACAGCCTTGGGGGAAAAAGGGGAGAAATAAAGTGAGAAACATGTATTTCCCTGTCTGGAAGTTGCCTTGACAGGCCTTACTTTGCACTGAGCAACACTGGGAATTTCTTTTTGCAGATGCTAAGGGGGACAAAGTATAAGATAAGGATACTTCTGCTTGGACTCACAAATTAAGAGGGATGAGAAGAGTTTCAGAGAACTGTCAGGAAAGACACCTGTCTCTTACACTGGGAGCAGAGAAATAAGATCACATGGTAAACCAGAGCCTGTTGAATAAGGCTTTTTCATTCACCTATGAGGGATGTCCAGACTCTCTGGAACAACTTCATAACTTCTGTTTCTCCTTGTAAAATGAAGCATTTAAGCACATAGTTTCACAAGTGCTTTGTGATGAACCATTCTTAGAATATTTGTACTTGAACTTTATCAATTTCACATCATCTGGTTTTGTTCTCAGAAAGATCTCACCTTTCTGAATGAAAGACCAGCTGAAGAAACAATGATGTTCTGCATAGTTTTGTAGAATAGCATGCATCAGGCCTTGAAGAAATTTTTCATTATTTTCCGAGAAACTTTTACTAAAAATCTTAGAAAATGAAGGCTGGGATTGAAAATTTTATTTTGTCCCCTTCCTTTTTAAGGCTTAAGACACTGCTATTCCTAAAATCTGTCTGAAGCTAAATGTTCTCAGTGAAGAAGTTGTGACCAAATGGCCACTGCCAGCATCAAAAGGGAGAATTTATGTTCATCAAAGTCTTTAGTATAGCAAGGCAAAATAACAGCATGTTTAAACCTAAACAGAAAAGTTTAACACTTGCTATTTCCTATGACCCTTCAGTATGAAGCTGAGGAGTAAGTGTCTAAAATGGCATGAAGAGAGCCAGGATGGAAGCTGTAAATTCTGTTTTACCAGCATCAATGTTTTATGTTGGTTCTTAGGCTCACTTTTTGGTACTTCAAGAGATTTAACACTGAGCTTTCTCTTGCTGTAAGGTTGATTACACATTTCCAATCTGGATCTGTCTTGCTCAGCAGACTGGAATGCTCCAGTACAGACCTGCAGAATAATTTGCTCAAGAAGAAGGTTCTTTTGTTGAATAAGCATAAATAAATAGAGGGTTGCAATGAGCAGCCTTGAAATTCCAGAAATAGTCCATGTATGAAATGCTATCTGCAGCCATGTCACAGGGATTGCTGGAAAGGGGTTGAAGGATCCAAAACAACGTGAGGAGACAACAGGCATAATTAAAAAACTTCATCTACCATAAAACTCACGTGAAGCTTAGATTCTTGTGTCCAGCACTCAGACAGACAGACAGACAGCGACCTGAGCTAAGCCCACCACTGCACACATTTCCTGGGCAGGAATGGTACGAGCTGACTTGCATTGTTTTGTCCACGTTACTTGAGCACAAACAACAGAGTTTGCAACCGGCCTTAACCAGGAGCATGACAAACAGCAATCTGTGACTACACAAACATGCTCTTTAACTCCTCTGCATAGCTTTAAAACACACAGCAAAGTTTGCAGAAAAAGGAGCTTAAAAGTTGGGGTATTTGGAGCAGAGCTCACTGGCCTGCTGTCTTTGTCGCGTAAATCTGTGCTGACATGGCTGCGTTTCTACCTCGATCTGCTGGTGAGGACTCTCATCTCCACAGTGAAAGAAGGTATTCTAATCCAGAAAGTATCACCAAAGTTAGGAAGGGGCTGAAAGGCAGTCAGATTTCAGTACTGAGCAATATCTGTTTGAGCTCCATCAACAACACCCACATAAAAGCTGTTGTGCAGGAGCAAATAGGAAAAGTTGAATTCTTTGCCTGGTGTAATTCACTTCATTTATTGACTTTTTTTCCCTTTCGTTTGTCAGTGGTTCTGAGATGCCTGGCATTCAGGATGATTTGTAATGTAAATTATATAATTGTACTTTCACATATTTTAACATCAAATGGAATGATTGACTACAGAATTTGAGCTGTCTACAGGTGGGGGTCAATTATCATCTGAATAATCACACTGCCACACAAGAATAGCATGGCCATGGAGTGTGACATATTTTTATCTCTATGCATTTCAATGAAGTCAGGCTGGTACATAAAAGGTTATCACCTAGGAAACATATTTTCCTAAGCACAAGTTAAACATGCAAGCAAGATCAGCATAGATATTCAATTTAGCCAGTCAACCCTAACCTATTAATATTTTAACAAAATCCAGTGAGGATAATTTTTTTTCTTTGATCCCATCTCATTTGAGCAGCCTGGAAAGGGAAGAAAAATTAAAAACAAAATAGTCAAGCATACAGAATGAGGTTATGTATTAAGTGGGCTATTTAATGTTTTTGGCATATTATAGCCCTAGGGAAAGTGTGGATGGATTTAACAATCAAGATCTGTGTTCCCTGGGCCCACAAAGTTCGAGAAACATAAAATAATCTATACTTCCGAGCTGACAAATCTTACCTGACACTCTGCTTCATCTCACTGGGACTCTCTAGCTCAGCATTAATCATATGTTACAGGGAGTAAAAAGAAAAGTAAATCACACTAAGCTGGAAAGTGAGATGGAAGGTCTTTGGGCAAAGCTTTTAATCAATAATATGTGGGATAATAACCAGGAGCTATTGTTTGAATCTTTAGATATGAAAAGGTAGCAATGCAAAACACAAAGCAACTACAAACTGCTGAACTTCAAAGGGGTCTGACGCAAACCAGATCAGCTTGGTTTGCCCTAAATCCCACCTTCTCCCCTTCCTAATCCATTAGCAACGTTCTGTATTCAGGGTTCACCCGTATTTTGATCTAACTCCAAAACTGCAATTAAAAGTGTCTATCTGATCCTAGAGATAGATTCAGGGGACACAGTAGTATCATGTGCATTAATTTTTGGGTGTCTAATCTGAGATCCTTTGCTATCCATTGAGGCTCAGAGAATGCTCAAAAAAAGGTCTGATTTCTCATGTCAGGCTATTCCCCTCTTTCCCTACTAGTTCCTTTTCAGACAATTACTGCTAAGACACAGAACAGGTATTATGTTGCTCTGAATTCTACCTCATTTCCAAGTACTGCACCTACTCTCACATCTGTAGCTTCCTTTCCCTCTAGTCCTCCCCATACATTAATAAAAGGAAAATGTTTTAGTTACTAGTCTACTAAACACTGAAAAATCTTTTAGTTTACGTATTTCTTACTGTTTAATTTAATTTATTTTGTGGTTTAAATTAGAATATGCCATCAGTGGGTAGAAGGCAGCACAACTAACCCAGTCTCTTCGGGCTGAAGCCTCAGCTATGAAATACATGGCTGTGATTGATCTGACCCCCAGCTATTCATACAGCTCAGTTCGTGACCTCTAACTTTCCTCACCCCTTCAATAATGTATGTAATAATATTTGGTTTGCTCGGTTATGAACAGGAGGTGGAGACGCTGGTCCTATCTCATACTTTTGTAATTATTATTATTATTTTAGGGGGTGGAGAGAGAGAGTTACTGCTCAGAGTGAAACCTAACCCAAATCCAGTTCAGGCTGTCCATTAATGCAAAACAGTTTTGAAACTGTGAATGGAGCTCCAGTAATTCCTCCACTGTTGCTCAGCAGGAGCTCGGCAACACACAGCTTGCATGACTATTGTAAAAAAAAAGTCTCACAACCATGAAAACATTCATGGACCATTTTCACAAGCAACCCTATCAGTGAGACAATATTTTTTTACCGCTGAGTGTGTGGGCCACATTTTCTTCCTTTTACTTTGTTTTTTTTTTTAGAATACAAACACTTTTTTCCCCTCCCTGAACTTTTTTTTTAATTTTTATTTTTTTGCGGGCGTTGCTTGTTTGTTTGGGTTTTTTTGCCTATAAGTCAAATGAAAGATACTTTATAATAGTCCTATTGTGCAACAACAAAAAAAGATATTTTTCTGCTTTAGGCACAGTGATATCTGTACAGTTTATTTTTTAAATAGCTCTTTTGTTGAAGTCCAAAAAAATCTTTCATTGTTATCATTTCAACCTGGTAAACTTTTCAACATTCTGAGGATTTCTCCCTCACAATAAATAAAATGATAACCAGAATTTTTACAAAGTTTAAGCTAATCAAAATATTTTTAAAGGGTTAAGATGGACTACTGGAAAAAAACTGTCTCAGCTTTTAAGGAGATTTGGCTGGCTCATCAGCGACACCTTCTATCTTTATTTCAAAGCTCCCCTATCAGTTTCCTCTCATTAAACCCAGGGAAAACAGAGACCATCCCAGTGAATTCACACGTTCTTAAAATGAAACCAGTTTAATGGCCTAATAAACCCACAATTCTTTTTATTGGTAGTTAAAAATAACTTGTAATAAATTGTTTCACTGATGACTATGGACTTTTTCTTGGTTCATCATAAATTTATAAGAAAAACTAATCCACCTTCGCTGCAGCATTGTCTGTTTTATCACACCAGCACCTGCTGATTCACTGCAAATACTTCTCTGGAGTGTTTGTCGCTCCCAGTGTGCATGTCCTTGACAAACTGTGTGGTGACAGTCAAATAGTCTCTGCGTCACCCTGGGGCCAGAGCAGATCCTGCTCACCAGGCAGGAGCACACCTCACTTCTCGGCGTTAGCAAAGGCGAAGGTTCTCTCCCTCCACCCTCCGGGAACTCCTGATGTGCTGCCATTTCTGCTTTTCACCCAGGTAGGTGGACCATTGCTATATATTCCCAAATGCAGACACACACTTTCCTGAACTTTGGCTTTTCAGGTAACACCAAACCAGAAAGAGAAGCCACCCTCTGCAAGGAGCTTGGCTGGTGTTGGGCTTTCTCCATGTGGCCTCACCACCATGTGGCACAGACTTTACTGTGTCTTCAGCTCCTGCAACTCTAGACCGATTTCCAATTCCCTTGCATGCAGCTGAGCTGACACAGCTCTTCCTAACACTTAAATTCAGGACTGATTTGGGTGCTACACCCTTTATTGTTCTTCCATAAAAAAGGAGAATGGTCTCCTCCTACAAGTGTTTTTCTACTGATGGCAACCAAAGACAGTTTGTATGCACCCAGAAATTACCATAAAAAACATGGATTTTAATAATTTTGGTAAACTATAATGAGACATAAAGATGTCAAAGATGTTGTGACAATACAGAAGCCTCCATTTTTCAACAGAACTTCCACAGCATGATCCATGGTGATTACTTATGCGTCTGCTCTTACCCCAACGAGTAAACCACCTTTTTTTATTTCCTGGGCCTTTAACTGCAGAATAAGCGACAGGCAGGAGATGATTCAGGGATCCTGGGGGGAAACACCAGGGTAGGTTCTCTCCTGGACATGGCCCTTTCAGACATCTGCCCAGGCAAGCCAGCCGACAGACTTTGCCAGGCTGCAGTCGCCCTCTCTGAGCATCTCCAGAGCATCACTGTCTCTAGTAGGTTTTTTAAAGATTGTAAAAAAAGGATACAGTTTTTAAAACAAATATGAAGTTCTTGGCCACTTCTGCCTCTCTTGTATTTGTACATGTTCTACAGTGGTTCCTTTTATAGAGTCAGCATTTGATAGCAGCACTTACAGAAATCTCCTTTGAAAAAAGAGCCATCGTTCTCTGATGCTGCATTACAGCGAGAGCTGGCAATTTCCTGATGATTACTATATATTCTAAGCCACCATTTCTTAATTTGCTAATAGATATCACTCCCCTGCAGCCTTGGTCTCATTTGTAAGAAGTCTGGTCTGCAATGAACCAGTCAGGAAAGAGCATACAGGCTGTGGCTGCAGTCAGAAAACTCATCAAGATTTTCTGCCAGTTTTTATTCTACATAAATGAATATCTAAACCCACTAATGTCTCGGAAACCGGAATGAACTGCTAACAATGACTAGATATGAAAAAAGAAATCAGTTTCTTTATACTATAGTAGGCTTTTGTGTATCCTTTGAAGAAAGTGGTAGTGCTGTCTGAATTTAGGTTCAGTGAAATGCTGAAACGTTAAATTTAATGGTGTTTCCTGTTCTAATCTCTCCTGAACTGGACTTAGTAAAGACTAATGACCGACCCTTTGAACCTCCAAGTCTCCCAAGGTTTAATTTGTTATTTCTGAGGAAAAAAAAGCATGAATAAATAATGAGAATAAGGGACACAGTGACCAGAGACAATTCACCAGTGTCATTTACATATACAGCAGGGTTCCCAATTCCTAGAATTACTCATTACCACAATACTACAGAAAAAATTAACCCAAATCCAGGATGACAGCCAAAAGCAAGGGCTACTCTATTCCAAAGTTATCTTGAAAGGTTCATGATATTCTCTCATTGTATTTAAAGTCTGTAACATTTGGAACATGGAGAGTTAACACAGACTAGAGAAACCAACACAAGTATTTAAGCCTCTGGTGTGTGTTATGAGTCAAAATTCACTTGATTAAAGGAAAGGAAAATAAATAGCTGAACAAAACAACCTGTAATATTCTTTCAGAAGATACCTATTTGCGGGAAATATAACTTCTACAAGAACATACTACTTCTGACAATCCCTTTTATGCTGGATTTTTCTTAGGTGTTCAACTGAATTTCTTTTTTCAAATCTAGAAACCACAGGACAGTTGTAGCTGTTAGAACAATTGTTCAAAGCATGACAAATCTGGGTTTAAGTCCTTGATTCAGGCCATGGACTTCAACCTGGATCTCTCACATCTTACACAACTGCACCCGCAATTAGGTTTTTTTCTTATTCTGGGCTGGACCTAAGTATTTCTTTTGAATTTTTTAATATCTATTTTTGTTTCATCCTTTGAGAAATATTTGCTAGAACAAAATTGTTCGGAAATGGAAAAAACAGCAGGAAGAGAGAACAGTGCAGTAATTGCAGTACTAGAGCTAATTTTGCTTTAATTTAAATGCTTTGTAAGGCAGTGAAAAACCAGCAAATTACAATAGTGGGAAGGAAAAAGGCTTTGCTCACAAAACAAATTTTCTTCCTGAAAAGCAGTTTATTGCAATGTAGAAAGCTCACTAATTGGATTTATGACAGGCAAGCAGTGATGGTAAAAAGGAATAATGTGAACAGGGAAAAATAAATGCATATTAAATTTTACAGACACCTACTCATTTCCTCTGCTTTCCTGAACCAAGTACCCAGTGTTTCCAGTTTTCTGTCGATTCTTAGTTTACTTGGCAGAAAAGGGAAGGGCTGTGGTTACACATGAGGTAAATAACCACCCCGAATAGCCCACAGTCAGCAGACAGGCTCAGTGCAGCTGATATGGAGATCGGCCGTGTGAAGTTCTGGAAATCACGGCCGATGGAGCCGAGAAACGCATTGTGCTAATGTGCTCTCTTTACACAGGATTCGCCAAATCCGGTATTTATTTGCCTTGCATACCAAGTCAGCTATACCTTTTACCCTCCTTAATAAACTCTGGCAGAATTGCATCACCTAAAATTTAGCTTTTCATTTTGGGGGTTGCTGTATTTTTCCTGTTCAGTGCAGGACTGAATGCACAGCCCAGTCCGGGTAGTTCTCAATTATCCTGAGTTGCAGAGTAACCTGTCTAATCCTGGCACGTATAAATGTTTTAAAACGTAGCTGAAATTCTGCACAGAGAAGCTCAAAGAGTGTGACTGCAAAAGTCACCTCGAAATCTTGCACTTATTTCTCACTTTCATTTGGTGTCATAAAAGACCTCAGCATCAATCATTAACAAGCTATTAACACATGCAGCTGATAAAAGTGCTCAAAGTCTGGGCAATAACAACGGCGGAAATTCCTGGTTTACAGCTGGTTTAATCTAAGTCTATGGAGCCCACTCTGGTTATTTTCTTGGCTAAAAATTGTTTCTCCATTTTTCTGCTTTCACCTCTGCCTGCGTAACACGCACAGAGGCTGCATTTTCTCATCTCTGCTCTGCAAAACTTGCTCCTTCCCTCTGCTGCCTTTCCCACTCATTCTTAAAAGCAGTTTGCAAGCGCACGGAGCCAGGAAATGATTTCATTCAAATGTCATATGATTTTAATGCTATTACCTGGTAAAGAAGTTGCTATCAAAGAAATGTGAAATCTCAGCTCAATTTGCAATTTGTAAACACAATAGTGGTTATTAACAATAATGAACAAACAGGCTGTAATTTAAGCAGCATCATACAAAGGTGTTTCATTCCAGCTTTCTAAATTGTACCAGAACTCAGTCGTGCTTCTAGAAGGAATAAAGCCAGAAACAGCTTTGGCTACCTGAATAAAACACATATTTAGCATTTTCTAATTCACTGGTTTTGATCACTCATTTTGTTAAATAAAATCTCTGATGTCACGAAACCTGAACAGCTGCTCAATTAGCTCATTACTCTGTGTGTTACAAATGTCATTCAGGCTTTGGGGTGGGGAGGGGGGTGTGCATTGTGTTACTGATGATTTTCTGATTGCCCTTGTTGGTAGTAACACTTGTCAATAATTGTATTTACTAGGCTATAGTTCCTTGCCCGTATGCAAAGGAATTTAAGGATAGAACATATAGAAAATGGCATCACAACAAAACAGGCTCAGAAAAACATGAAAACACCTAGCCTCCATCTGCTCAAGTGTGATACACTTCAGAGCTCCCATTTCACATGTAAAACAGAACATGATTTATAATTTATATCTAGTTGGTGCAATCCTTCTTGAAGAAAAAAAAAAATCTTTGATGAAACACTGGCTTTATGTTATCATAAAACTATCGAGAAAATCACAGAACATTTGGCAATTTGCCTCTACTACAGCATCTTTGAAGTTTGGATATTTATATTTTATGCACTTTTCAAATGAACTGTATTGCTGAACACAAACAGAAAGAATATAAGTGTGAGTGGATGCTGAAACGTAATTACCACATTAGCAACAGTAAACTACTGCAGGTATTTACAGACCTTCAGATAGCATTTAAGGCCCAGTTCCAAAAAGATTTTAAATATTCTGTGTAGTGTGGAATTTATATATTTTCCTTGATTTATTTAAAATCTATAACACATTTAAAAAAATGAAAGAACAAAGGCATAAGCAAGCAGCTCTCAGATTCTGCAGAACCACCAATCTTGCTTATAGCTGTGATCTTTTTTATTCATAAAATTACAGACTTTTGAGAGCATTCCTGGGAGAGGATTCTGCATCCCTCATACCTGGGAATCACCTCAATGATTAGCAGTGATTATGTGCAATAAGGAAACTCACTTCTGAATAAAATAACCTTTAAAAGGTTTAAATTAGACTTCTGCTGGGTCATAGGCACATAAATGAATTACTTATGTTAAAAGCCATTTCAAATCTGCAGGATTATTTAGTAACATAAAAGACATACGATCAAGGAGCAAATAGGGATGTAGGGTGTTGAAATCTGAAAGGATCAACCTCTTGATGATACAGGAAAGCCACATGATCCTTCTCCTAAATTCTGTAATTTTCAAAGCACCTGTCTTGTGATGTCTCAGTTACAATCCTGGCTGCTGTGCTCCAACAGGCAGAGAAGTCAGAGTGGTTTGTCTTTGCTCTGACAGGTTCATCAACATATTACAATGGAGAGAAATACTGCACTCCCACCTTATTTTCAGTCTGTTTACTAAAGAAATGCATCACTCTGGTGTTATACATTTCATGCTGCTGGCTAATTTCTAAGGTTGTGCTGAGCAGTAAGCAGGAGTTTAAGAAACGGCCAGACTGTGGTGATT